TCTTTATATACAGTCAGTGATCATCTTTATATACAGTCAGTGTCTTTATATACAGTCAGTGATGGTCTTTATATACAGTCATATATACTCTCTCTCTCAGGTTCCCTCTCTGTCCCTGTCACCAGTGGACTGTCGGACTGTTTTTCGATATATAACTCACCACTGTTTTCAGCCTGTGGCAGTTTGAGCACTGAGCTCTCTCTTGTAATTGAAGGATTATTTAATTTAACCGTTCGTCTTCTGTTTGGTTATTAAGATTATTTTACCTTCGTGATGACGTTCATGAATCTGTGCGATAATCACAATCTGTCGGTGTCGTGCATTATTTTCACGGACGACTCGGCTGGGAATTAAACTTTTCATATTATCTACTGAAGGGGTCGGGGTGTGGAACCCTCAACCTACTGCCACTGCTATTTGATTCCCTCATGACCACAAACATATTTAATACAGGTGAACCCAGAGGAAATCAAACTCAGCCTTGGCAGCATCACTTCCACACACTTTCCACTCAGCCTCACAGGATGATGGTCTGAGCTGTCAGCCTCTGCTCAGTGCACCTTGTTGACAAACCTTAAAGTCACAGTGCCCCAAAGTTTTCCTGAACCCCTTAAGGCTGCTTAACTCCTGAAATGGCTTCTGGATGTCTTGTTGAGGAGAACTGTCTGACCTCCTTCACACCTGGGTTTGGCTCGCAGAACCTCCACGTTCCCACAATCCCTCCAAATATTCAAGCCTCGGAAATACTGTCACACTATTCAGAGCGTGTAAGATTGAAGGTCTTGGTTTGAAAAGAGAATGAGATGAGGGAAGGAAAGAAGGAACAGAGAAGAGGACGCAGGCAAAAAGAAGAAGAGATCAGACAAGAAGGAACAACAGAGTCAAAGAGAATTAAATGTTCAGATATTTACAGACTCAAGAATTAATTCATTGATGAAATAAGAGATTAAACGATAGATAGAAGTTTCTATTTGAAATTTAAATCCAGAGAATTCTCAGAAGAAAAGAAGAAGAAGAAGAAGAATATATATTATATCTACGCCTGAATATTAAGTTGTTTGACGAAGATGAGCTGATTCTCTGTCGCTGCCGTTAAACCCCAGAAGAAGAAAAGTAAAAGTTCAGACGATTGTGTTCGTAAGTATTTATTCACAAAGTCTGTTTTCACTGTACTTTGACACAACTTATTTGTCCTGTTTGTTTTTTTCAAATATGCATAAAACCATTCCTGTGTGTGGCTTCTGCATGAGGCTTGAGAAGGGAAGAAGAAAAGAATGTGTGAGGTCAAACAAGGATGTGAATCTTAATCAAGTTGCACCAAATCAAAAGATTCCTGAAAAGAACAAACTCTGCTTGTTCTGACCTGGATATTCTTCACAAGAAGGAGAAGTGTGCAGAAATATTTCATTTCAATAAGAATGTACCGTCTGCTGCTCTCTGTGGGAAAGTATGTCCTCAGACGTGATCTGATTATGACATTTTCCTTAAATTACCCTTCTGTGTCCTGAGAGGAACATACATGATGAGTCAGAGTTGTTAGGCTGCTGTTCAGACCATCACACCAAAACCATTAAATCTGGAAAAGCACCAATCCTGGACAATAGAAAGAAACCAGGGGGTCATTTGACCCGGAACAGTAGCTGGGGGCCAACTGACGATGTGACATAACCCCTGTTTCCCAAATATCAGTTCTCACACTATCCTGAGCTGTGGAGGCCTCGAGGGAAAGTTTCTAAAGGTCAGTTTCTGTGGGATTCAAGAGAGGAACAGAGTCCAGATACAACTTAGATTCCCTCGTATAAATAACTACAGCAGGTCAACAGACCAAAAGACCAACAGACCAACGGGTAAACAGACCGCAAACCAACGGACCACACACCCAAAAGACCCTCAGCTCAACGGACCAACAAGCCAACAGACCGAAAGACCAGCAGGTCAAAGTTGCAGAAATCTCCTTCCTCTTGAATTGGACTCAGAGTTTATGGCTCTTGAGCATGATAACTTAAGACCAGCTTTAGTTTCACATCGACCTCATGTGAGTCTGCACAGAACAGAACATCGTATGTCTCCTTCAGAGATTCTGCGGTAAAGGTGATCTTGTGTCTGCAGCTTCACGACTGTTCATCATCCTCTGCATCTTTTTCTTTCTCTTGTCACTACGACCAGCTGCTTCCTCTCCTGCCACCTCCTCCACTGACTCCACTAACACCGTCCATGCTACTAACGCCAGCACCCACGGTAAGTGACCCTGATCCTCGCCCTCCACCTCCTCCTGCTGCCTCCTCCTAATATCCTCCTTTATCTCTGATACCACCTCCTTCTCTGCTCTCTTTTCATTACCAGCACTGTTCTTTTCTATCTCCTCATTCCTCACTGAACCCACTCTTCTGGAGCTCATATCTGATGTTCAGTGACTTTGCTGATCATTTTTGATTCTTGATCTTTGTCCTGTACATTTTATTATATATTTTGGGGCTCATATAAATAATTCACAGTCCATCACCCAAAACTTTTTTTTTATGAGCTTCTCTCATAAAGATCAGAAAACATTTGATACTGAGGTTTTATCCACGAGCTTATAAAAAGTTCATTTTCCATCTGTGGTCCCTCTCGTTCTGCTGCATTCTTTTCATTTGTCCATCTCCAGTCCTCCCTCCCATCACTCCATCCCCACCCACCATCCCTGCCACTAGCTTGTCTCTAACCATCAGCGCCGCCTCTACCAGAACAACCAGCTCCTCCTCCTCTGGTAAGGCTTCATCTGCTTCGCTGCTTCATTGATTTCCACGAGTATCACGAGACCTTTTAATGCAAAAAACATCATCAATTAAAAGAGCTACACCTAAAGTACATGTTTGAGTCATATCACAACATACATGATCTCGAGGCTCTTTACAGAGTGCGGTCAAGGTCTTAAAGATTTGAGTGAAACCAACAGTTGGAGCGGCTCTGACGACCGGAGAGAAAAACTCAGGGAGTTTCAGGGAGAAACTCAACATTGGCGGCCATCTGCCTCCGGCGGTTCGGGTCCAGTGGAAAAACCTCCCTGAAACGTTCAACAGATATTTGTTTGTGTCTGAATCAAGAAAAGACTTTTGATGGTGGTTCTGTAGCCACACGAGCTACGAACTTGTCCCATGAGTTTTATTTGTGTCACTGACATTCCCACTTATTGTGCCGATTAGTTACCATCACCTGTGCATCTCCTCCACTAACCAGCTTCACTCAGCAGGACACTACGTTAGGTAGCTAACCTAAGCTAATGTCACCAGCTAACACTGAAAGTCAAGCTTCTGGATTTGTCCTGTTGTGTTGCTGAACCTTAGAAATCATTTTTGAAATATCTCTAAATCTTGCTCACTTGTATTTAGTACTACTACTTTTTCACAGCTAGCATCCGAACGTCTATACTCTGTTGAATGTGACCTGCTCTCAGTTCGGTTTGTATCGTACCTGCAGCATGTGTCTTTTACGCTGACGTAACATCTGTGATTGTTTATTTCTTCTGTAGCTCAACAGACAACCAGCAGCACCACAACAGTTTCATCTGCTCCCACTAACATCCCAGCTACTAACCCCACAGGGCCTGGTAAGAGCAACAGCATCGCTAACACTCGCTTTACGAACATAGAGCTGCTCTGAGTGCAGTGGGTTTCTGACCACAGTCTGAAAATAAAGATGGCCGACATGACAGTGCCCCAAAAGTGAAGCCAAGTCATTTCTATTGCCCTCTGGTGGCTGTCGAAAATATTATTAACCCCATATTATCATGGGGTTAAAGGTTTCATATATATTTGATGATATGAAAACAGACTGCGTTGTATCGCACATGTTTTGGCGTTGGATAGTTTGGAGGAAGTCTCTGGATCAAACAGTAATAACTGAGTAAAAAACCTGAGCTAGTTATGAAGTTGGATAAATCAAATAAAGTTTATTTCTTAAACTGGTGAAGTGATTATTTGAACAGTTGGACCTGATAGTAAGGAAATAAAACTCCAATCAGGACTGTGGATATTTAACACTTCATTCTTTATTGCTTTGTCGTCTTCAATATTAAACCTGGTGTCAGTGTTTGAAACAACTTTCATCTATGGTAAAGTTTTAGCCAAATGTATTAGTCGCTACGTTACAAGAATTCTATGTCTATAAATGGTGTAACCATGGCAACAGTGATGTTTTTAAAGCTTAAATGTAATAAGGTGGATGTCGCCTTATTAACAACTAACCAACCACTAACATAGCTGTTGTATTTGTCCCTCTTGTCGTTCTTTTGATTTCTCATTAGAAATTAATCTTGTTTTATACTTTTACTAAACTGTTGCTTGTTCCTTGATGTTTTATATCAATTTTATATTTTATATTTGTGATTCATTTAAATTGTGTTTGTTTCATGATTGTCTACGGCCCCTGGAGAAGCTGCTTCCCCTTTTATGGTTTTTCTTTTTATTCCATTGAACAATGGAACCTACTCATCTCACATAGAACATTTGAATGATCTTAGATTGTTTTAACATTTATTCTGTCAAACATCTTCTCTTGCTAAGTCCTGAACCCTGAATCCCATAATAATCAAAGAAACATCATAATCAAATTATTAATTTCTTCTACTAACAATAGTTGATATAATCTCAAATAAAATGCCTCTTCTCGTGTGCACTGTTTTTGCTTGAGAACGTTTTATGACTTTATTTGTCATCTGTAACCTGCTTTTTCATTGGCTTGGATTGATTTGCCGTGTCCTGGTCACAGTGAAGGAGACTCCTGTGAAAACCAAAGCTTCTCCTGCTCCGGCTGCTCCTGATGCTGCTGTCGTTACTCTTCAGAAACCTGAAACCTTTACCTCCAAGTCCACGCCGTTGGCCGCTGGTGCAGCAGCTCACCACAGAAGACTGAGGCATGTTTTTGGTTTACCTGCCGCTGGAGGAGCCTCTCATCATTTGTCCGTTGCATCCAGTCAGTCCAGCTCCCAGGCACAATCCCTTGCCCCCCCACATGCAGCACATCATCCACCAGCTCTCGGTCACCCAGCTCCACGTGAATCGACTTACCCTCGACCGTCATCCTCCTTCCCTCGGCCCCCACGCAATCGTAGCTTTAAGACCTCCCTGGGGTTTATCTCCACCCCTCTGATCTGGCAGGGAAGGAAGAGGCCAACAGGGGGAAGACATCCAGCTGCCACCAGAGCAACACTTAGTCCACATCTGGTTCACATCACGAAACCTGCTGTACCGCCAGTTGTAGTCAAATCCACAACCAGGCCTACATATACTACACAAACAAATGGACACAAATACACACTTGCTCCAGGGTTAAGAAACGCAACACTTATTGGATATGTGACAAACACAACTGGTCACCTACGTGCATCAAGTCAACATACATCACCAGCAAACTTTCCTGCAAACCCTCAAGACTCAAAGCTCCTCCCAGAATCTGGAGTGTCACTGTCATCAGCCCCTAGTCAGGGGTCGCCTGCAGGGCAGCATAGAGAGGAGGCCTTGGGCACGAACAAATCTTCCTCAGTGGAGGGCGCAGCATCTTCATCATCGTTGCTTTCATCATCATCTGCACTTAGCAACAGAAAGAACAAACCTGCAGTGCCCCAGTCGTCACCACTAAACACAACGGTTGCTATGGGAGACCCAACAGATTCTCTGGAACGGCTGGCTTATGAATATGCATCAGGAACGGACTCGTTTGTTTATGATTTGTCTGATGTCACAAGTGAGGATGGTTCATTCAGTATGTATGAATTTGACGCTGCCTACTCCTTGGATGAGCCGGCCACCGCCGCTCCGTCCTTTTTCGGCCCTGACGCCAAATTCAAACAAGGTGTACTTCTTCCTCCTGTTACGCACCCCTTCGCTACTTCAGACAGAGGAAGTGAACATTTACTCAACCTCTCTGATGACACGGACAACCTACGGAGGAGCTCCACAGCCGGAGGAGAGCTTCCTCTGACACAGGATGGATTTTCATTCATCAGCAGGTCCCATATTCCTACAGTGACTGTCTCTCAGACTTTGACAGGAGCTCAAACTAACCACAGGGCTTCAAGCAGCACTAGTTCGAGTGGATGGGAGCCAGATAAAAGTACAAACTCAAACTCTGCCCCTCAACAACTAGCTTTCCAACCATCACCCTCTCTCTTTATTCCCTCCCTTTCTTCCTCTCGGTTGATACAGCCGACACTGTCTTTGCCGGTGCTAACCAGCTCCTCTGGTTTCCCCTCAGACATCGTTTCTTCTTTAGAGTCACAGGAGGAGGACAAGATATCATATTCCTCTCTCTCTTTAAACCCACTGGACAGCGTGTGTGAAAAAAACACTTCAAGAAATGATGTGAAACTTGTAGCAGCCAAAAGTCTGGAGATTAACAATTTATATCCGAGTGCAGGTTTATTCACACACATACATTCGTCAGCGCACTTCACTCTCCAGAGACCTTCACTGTTCTCCTCTCCTCCTCCTGTTCTTCCAAAAACTTCTCTTTCTAACTCTTTAGCATCTCCCCTTGACATACCTCTTCACCTCCCTTCATCATCTCTTCCTCCTCTGTCTCCCCTCAGCTCCTCTCATGCCATCACTCTTTCTGGTTCATCACCTGTTATTTTACTAACTTCGCTTCCCCATTACTCCTCTGACTCCATCACTTCTCTTTCATCCTCTCCTCCCCTCTGGCCTCCTCCACCCTCCACTGCTCCTCAGCAGCCTCCCTTCCTCCCATCCTCCCCTCTCAGGCAGGCAGAGGGACAACTTTCAGAAACAGACGCTGTTGTTGAATCTGCTCACGTTCCAGAGTTCGATGGAGTTAGTGGAAACTTTAAACTGTCATTTCTGTCTCCGTCCTCACACCTTCAAAAGGACTTTGTTGTGACAACAGTTGACGCAGCAACCTTGTTGTCACTTCCTCTTTTCTCTGAGTCTCAGATGCCAGTCGTCGATGGTGCGCTGCTCCCTGAATACCACTCACTCTCTGCTGAGCGGTCAGAGCCCTCTGATGCCCGGTCGGGTCCTTTAGTCCATTCGATTGGGATTTTTTCCTCTCGTCAAATGAATCCGACTCCCTCCAGATTGTCTGTGAAGAATCTAGTGGCCAGTTCTGTGACACTCACACCAGATTTAACACCTCAAATGCTTCCAGCTCTGCCTCAGTTGGAGTTGTTCGACCCACAGTTCAATTCTTCAGTGGTCAGTGAGTCGGTTCACTCTGATCAGAGTGTTTTGACCCTCCCAGAGGAAACAGATCTGCTGAATCAGACGGACATTGGCTTTAAATCCAAGTCCACAGCTGGAGGTTGGGCCTCTGAAGGCACCCTGGTGGTGCTCCAGGGAAACACTGATACAATGGAACCACTCTCTCCTTCTTTGTCTGCCACTTCTTCGCGATCCTCAATTCGCTTCCTTTCAACTTTGAGTTCCCTTTTCCATAGCCTTGACAACCTGCTGCTCACTCCGTCTCCAGAAATGTTTCCTGCTACCACAGTGATGCAAGCTGCTAGGATGACAGGAAGGGTGGTGGGGGAGGACACTGCAGTGTCTTCTTCCTCCCCCTCCCCTGATCCCAGGTTTGAGAACTCTCTCATCTTGGCTCTGACGTCTTCATCTGGGTCACAGTGGAGTCTGCAGCAAACTATTTCCTACACTGATGACCAGGTGAACACAAACACAGCCACTGCTGCTCACAATGATGGACTGAATCACCCCACTCCCCCTTTGTCGACTCCTCTTTTCATAGCACCTACCCAGACTCTCCGCAGCAGCCGGACTACACGACCCGGCACTGAAACCTCCCCGCACACCTCAGGGCGGGATTATTTGCTCCACTTAGGCTTTACACAAACTAACACAGAGCACCTCGGCCGTCTGATCCCCACACATGGTTCAATGCTCACACACTCAGGAGCTCAGACACATGTGAACAGGGTTTCAGATGCGAGTAAGAGGCCTGAGCAGAGCGCACAAGATACACATGTTGATGTCGCTGAGCTGCAGCAGCAAACATCCCACTTCATTTCCTTTACCTTTACCCCCCATCTCCTTTTACCCTCTATTGTGCCTTCACTTTCTCTCGCAGCAACCCTCACCCCTCCTTTTTTCTCTCTTCACACCTCCCCTATCTATTCTGCCACACCATCTCTCGCTCATCTCCTCCCCAGCTGGGTGCCATTGTCAGCAGTGTCTGCCAGCATGGCGGAGGCAGAGATTGGCTCCTTGTCTCCCACTCTGCCGGCTGCTGGCTTCCATCTGCCCACAATGACCCAGTCTCCCCTGGACAACCATTTGCAGTCCCCCCAATCTTCCAGAGCATGTCCTTTTAGCCATTCAGCAGAGTCACTCCACGTTATCACAGCTAGCCAATCACCTCCTGACCGAGCTTCCACGTCCCTCGAGGACAAATTCAGCCTTGTTTCTGCTGAGGTGCATGACAAGGATGAGTTTTTGGCAGAGCTCACAAACACAGGCACAGTGTCCTCCCTCGAGACTTTCAAAAATCAATCTACAGCTGGGATACCGTCACATCTCTCTACCTTATTTGACCCTGCAGATGTTGTTCCAAAAATCCACATTGCAGAGGAGCGTGCCGTAGCTGTGGGTCTGTCTTCAGCAGTGAACACCAGTCACAGTGTTACTCAGGATGTAACGTTGAATGTTACCACAGATCTTCAACTTAACCAAAGTCCAAATCCAGATGTTGCTCTGGACACTCAATCATTTCCTGTTGAAATGAAAATAACATACTCCCGCCCCACTTCTGAGCCCAATTATCAGACAAGCTTTGCATCGTTAAGACTTCCCACTGCTGCTCCAAATATTCCCCTGCACACCTCTGGCCTTATTGCTTCCTCTTCTACCGCAGCCATCAGATCCCCCACAGGCTCTTCTATCGATTCCCTAGATCAAGGCTTAATTTCTGGGCTTGCAGAGCTCCCACCTCCTGCGAGTGACAGCCTCACTGCAAACACGACGGGCTCAAATACTACGACTGTTACAACACTCAAAGACTTGTTGCCAAATGAGATGAGAAACGCCACAAAGGCTAGAAATGCTACAACTCTGACAGAAAATGCAAACATGGAAGCGTCTCAGCAGAACGTTACAGGCAACAAACCAACACCACATCTCGGAGTGAATGCAGGCACATTAGCAAAATCAAATTCTACCTTCTCAAAAACAAGTTTGAACTCAGGTGTGTTGAACCACAGCGGGAGTCAGAGCTCAGGAGCTTTTGTGAATAATGCCACAAACGACAGTGACGGCAGTGTGAGGGATGTCCACCTTTCCCTCACTTTACCTGCGGACGCCATTATGATAACAAAGAACTCCTCTCCTACGACTTTCAGCGGCGGCCTCCAGAAGGCCACAGTTCATCCGACCCACGGATCTCCAACTGTGGATTTAACTGCCAAACCCTCATTGCCATGCCAATGTAAACAACGCTTTCATTTTACATGTCTGTGTGGACTGTCATCGGGGAACAGTATGTCATGCAGTAACAGAAAACGTAGACGTAGAGAATAAGAAAATCAACAGTAGCAACTTGTATTGAGTCCTAAAACCTTTTTTAAAACTGATTCAATGTTCAGTCAAAGACGACTTGTTGCACTATATGGCCAAAAGTATACGGACACTTAATGGTAACATAATGAGCTGTGATGTTAAGTTCCAATCTTAAAGCTACAGGACACGATTCTATTTCTGACACGAGTTTTCAACAGTTTATTTCTTCCCTTCGTGTTTCAACATGACACGGCTACGTTAACATGGAAGCCAATAATCTGATGTAAACATTTTCAAGAGAAGAGCTCGCACAACACAACACAACACAACACAACACAACACAACACAACACAACACATCACAACACAACACAACCACAGTTGTACGAAGTGAAAACTGATGGCGAGGCCGACCCCTGCACCTCACAGACGCTCCGCTGCAGCCGGGAGATCAAATCTTCTGGAAAAGTTTCCCTCTGCAGAGTCGAGGCTGTCACAGCATCAGAGTAACGTCCATGGATTTGGAACCAGATGTTCAACCATCACATATACTTGTAACATACAAGTGTCCACATATTTCTGGCCATATGTGTTAAAAACAAAAGGACGCTGTGGAAATCTGCAGCCTAATGAAAACAGGATTTTAAGACTGAATACAGGATGAAATTACTCTGAAGGTGGTCGGCATGATGTAGCTGCTGTAGCTCTTTTTTCTTTGGGCTGTCAATCAGGTGGATGGTTTGATCCCTCAGGCATCGGAGGCTTCTGATTGGTTTGTGATGATTCTGTCGGATATTAACTTCTCAGTCAGACAGTAGAATTTACCAGGTGCTTGTAGATAAAAAGGATTGTAATGTTCTATCCTCACTGTTTTTCTTTTCTTTACCTCTATTACTTGTCTTTTATCTGTCCATCATTACATGTTCCTCGTTTTCTTTTCATCTACAAAGCTCTTCTTTCTGTCGTGGTTGGATCTGTTCAGCTTCTCGGTGGAGACATGAAGTCTGAAGGTGTGCAGCCTGCAGCGTCTCCACCTGAAGTGATGGATGCAGATCCACGTCTCAACTGCTCATTAGCGTTTTCTAAGAATTTTAAGAACTGTAGTGACACCTAGTGGCCAACGTGAGGCATCGCAGGAGAGCTGAGCACTTTGTCCAGAGGAGGAAAACTCACATCTTTAATAATCAAGACTGAATGATGTTTTATTGGGTCTTTTCGGCAGAAAAATTTAAATATGTTGAGGAAAGAATCATCTAGGATTCACATATCTGAAGGAGGACACGTCACCAAGTGTTTTAAAATTAGAAAACTGAGATAATACGCAGAATAAAGTTAGAGAGTTAGCTCATTATGAAAATATTATTCTTGTTCTTCTCTTCATTATTTTATCATCTGTCCTG